CCTGCCTCTGCCTCCCAGGTGCTGGGATTAAAGGCGTGCGCCACCAACACCTGGCGAGTCTCGTGTGTTTTTTTTTAATATTTTTATTTATTTTTTATGTATACGACATTCTGCTCCCATGAATATCTGCACACCAGAAAAGGGCACCAGATCTCATAACAGATGGTTGGGAGCCACCATGTGGTTGCTGGGAATTGAACTCAGGACCTCTTGAAGAGCAGTCAGTGCTCTTAACCTCTGAGCCATCTCTCCAGCCCGAGTGTTTTAAGAAGCAGATAAAGTGATTTTCTTTTGACAGCTCTGGAGTGATCAAGTCTGAAGCCCCATGTCTGCAGCTTGGTTAGTAGGCCTGCAGGGGGCGCAAGCTGCACCAGGAAGAATGTGCTCTTCTGCTTACACCTGTTGGGGCCGGACTCTGGGCTTGCCAGCACCTACTGTCTGACAGGGCTCCCAGTGCTGCTCAGAGAAGGGAGCTTGTGCTCACCCCAAATGAGCACAAATGAGCACTCAGGCTTTTCTTGTTTCTCAGTGCTCTCCCCTGGTTTATAATACCAGCATTATCTATCAAACCATTCTCTGCACTGACAACAAACTGCTGTGTGAACTCAGTCCCCTTACTAGTCAGTGACTATGAGCCAGTAACTGGTAGGATTTTCCTGTGACTTTAGGGTTTTTATGTAGCATGAATAACAATAATAAATAAATAAATAAATAAATAAATAAATAAATACCCAGAAACAGAAATGGGGTTAAAGTTTAGGGTTTTTATGTAGCATGAATAACAATAATAAATAAATAAATAAATACCCAGAAACAGAAATGGGGTTAAAGACCAGAAAAGCAAAGTAGCCAACCACCATTGGAGAGTTCTCACCTCTACCAAAGCTGGGGCAATCCTGTCCTCAGCGTGGCTGGCAACTGTAGTCTGCATGAGACCCTGAGCTCCTGTCTTACAGTCTTCTCTAGTGCTGGGATTAAAGGTGTGTACCACCACTGCCCAGCCTCTATGGCTAGTTTTGCATTCTGATCTTCAAGCAAGCTTTATTAGGCCATAAACAATATATCACCACATTTTAAAAAAGATTCTTTAAGTGTTTCCTTTCAGTTATGTGTATATGCAAGTCTTAGGGTGGGTTTGTGCACCGAATAGAGTGCACAGAAACCCCAGAAGAGGGTGTTGGGTCCCCGAGCTGAAGTTGCAGGTGGTTGTGAGCCATCTGCCATGTGTGCTGGGAACCAAACTCAGGTCCTCTACAAGAGCAGTATGTGCTCTTAACTGTGAGTCATCTTTCTAGCCCTGACTTTGGGATTTTTTAAATTATGGAGATACTAAAACATTTTAAAAAATAGAGAACATAGACCAGTAAATACTGCACTTATCACCCAGATTTCAGTTTTCATTGTATTGGTTTCTTTTCTTAGTGCTGTGATAAAAGCAACCTAAAGAAGGGTTTCTTTTGGCTCATCTTTTAATGGTGGGGTTCATCAGAGTAGTCTGGTTCCATTGCATCTGTAGACAGGGAGTGGCTGGCTGGTCCTATTGAGTCTGTAGACAGGAAACAGAGAAGCAAATGCCAGTGCTCGGCACCCGCTCCCTTTATGTATTCTCAGATCCCAGCCTATAGGATGGGATCTACATTCAGGGTCTATCTTCCCACCTCAGTTGAACCTCTTTGGAAACACCCTCATAGCCTACAAAGAAGTGTGTCTCTTAGGGAGTTACAAATTGATTCAGGCTGATAGTGAAGATTAACCATCACTTAGCATTTTGTCACGTTTTGTCCTTCTTGCTAAAGTATTTAAAAGCAAATTATGTGATAATTAAAGATCTAACCATAGGCTATTTATTTCGGTTTTTCTGTTTTGTACCTCAAACTACCCCCCAACATTTTAAGTGTTTGTTTTGTGGTTGCTGCTGCTTGTAGGGGTCTAATTGTTTATATCAGGCTGCCCTGGACCTCTTTCTGTGGCATGAGCTGGATTTAAACTTTTAATTCTGTCACCTCAGCCTCCCAAATTCTGGGGTTACAGGTATGCACCACTGAACCCAGCCTCATTTTCCCTTTGCATGCCATTAACTTCCAAGTTCTTGATTCCTTCAATGGAGTTTGGACTTTCCCATGGGTTCTTTCTTTTTTTTTTTTTTTTTTTCTTCCTTCTTTTTTTTTTTAGAGTTTAATGTATCCATGTTTTTTTAATTTTTTCATTTTAATTAGAAAGAAAATTATTTTACATGTCGATCCTAGGTCCCTTCCCCTCTCCTCCTCTTAATGTATCCATGTTTTTTTAATTTTTTCATTTTAATTAGAAAGAAAATGACATTTTACATGTCGATCCTAGGTCCCTTCCCCTCTCCTCCTTCCCTGTCCCCTACCCCCAAACTAACACCCTACCTATCCCATACCCTTTCTGCTCCCAAGGGAGGGTGAGGCCTTCCATAGGGGATCTTCAAAGTCTGTCTTACTCTTTGGGATAGAGCCTAGGCTAACCCCTTTATGTCTTGGCTCAGGGAGTATCCCTTCATGTGGGATGGGCTCCCAAAGTCCATTCCTATGCTAGGGATAAGTACTGATCCAACAAGAGGCCCCATAGATTTCCTAGGTCTCCTCAATGACACCCATGTTCCTGGGGTCTGGATCAGTCCCATGATGGTTTCCCAGCTATCAGTCTGGGGACCAAGAGTTCTCCCTTGTTCAGGTCAGCTGTTTCTGTGGGTTTCACCAGCAAGAGCTATATTTCTGTGTCACCTTTGCATTAGGTACTATTAACCAGAGGGTTTCAGATTTGTGCTTTTTCTTAGTTACTGCATCTAGCTAGCATCAGTAACTTTGAAACTGCTTCCAGTCTGACCTTGGCCAATAGTGTTTATTGGAAAAAGGGGTTTCTTATCTTTGTTTTCTTTTAAAGACAGATAAAGATTTTCTGAGATTTGTACGGAATTTATAGGCTTAAAATGGATACAAAATAATAAAGGTGACTACTGCATATGGCCAGGAATAAGATTAAAGTAAGTCCTAATAACTGTTCTGCATGTTCAGTTTGCAGAGAAATTCCAGGAGGTAAAAGAAGCTGCCAGGCTAGCCAGAGACAAGTCCCAGGAGAAAATCGAGACCTCAAGTAATCATTCCCAAGTAAGTAATTTGTCCCTGAAATGAATATGAGTGTGATCAGTAATTGCAATTCCTTATTCCTTGTCACTCTTGGCAAGAAATTGGTAATTTTAACAGCAGGATATTCTGAAGGCATTTTTCAACTATTAGTCCGCTCTTACTGAAGTGAAGTGACATGTTTTTATGAGACTTTGGAATTTCTCAGGTGTAGTACTGTATTCTTGACACAATCAATAGTCCCCAGACTGGGAAGAGGTTATGCAGTCCCTCTGTTTAAAGGTCAGGGAGTAGCATGGTGGATAGAATGCTTACTTCGCCTATTCAAGACCAGGCTTTGTGCCAGTATTGCAAGAGGAGGCGGGGCTTGGTTAGTGCACAGTGTCTATATAGGCCCATCATGCTAGGTTAGGGACAGTGCTGTGCTCTCTCAGAGTCTAGCAACTATGAGGACAGGCAGTATAAGTGGTGGGACAGTGTTTACTGACTGTTGGGAAGTCTATGGTGGGATGCTCTTCAATGCTGCAGGCACCTCCTGCTCACTAGGGGAAATGCTTGACAGACAGGTGGGAGGTGCTATTCCTCAAGCTCTAAGTCCAAAGAGATCTGGCTTTGCCAGGACTTGAGTAGTCTGTCCATTTAAAAGTGTGATAATAATGGCTATAAAGGAGCCATTTAACCTGAGATCTAAAAATACTAGTGTACCTGGTGTCTTTGTTGGTGAGAGAAGACTTGACCATCTTATGGGTTGGGACAGGGAAAGGGAGCCTCCAGGAGCAGACGTGAGATTTGGAATAAGCATGATGGCTGAGCCTAATAACCTGGATATCTGCACCCTTCTGCATCGAGTATGGGGATAAAGTCTGGAGATGCTGCGAGAGCAGGAATTCCTGTTATTTGTCATCAGTTTCACTAACTAGGTGGTCAGCAGACATCGGAGTTGCTCTATGGCTCCTGATACGGAGTTGACATGAGGGTGGTGTAAGTGTACTGCAGGATGTGTCTCAGGAGGCTGCTTGCTGGGAGAAGAATGGCTTGGCCTGGGTAGCTGTGGTGCAAAAAAGAAAGGGCTGGCTGGAGGGGACAGCTCCAAGAAAGAACCAGAAGGCCAGGACCTGAAATAGTCATGTTCAACACTGACCATGAGCCAAACAGAATAGCCGAAGCCTAGGAAGTAAGGAAAAGAGGTGGAGATGGAGAGCTGTGAGCAGGAGAACCCTCAGAATCACTCATGGTGAGAGTCTGCCGGGGCCCTGGCTTTGCCGGCAGACTCGGTGGCTGGGATGATCCACACAGGCAGGACCTAGGGGTCCTCTAGAAGAGTAATATGCACTCTTGACCACGGAGCCATCTCTCTAGCCTCCATGCCCCTGGGCATGTTTGAAATTACAGAAATGGTTCCTGGAGGAGAGAGTTCTAACACAGTCTTCTTCTGAAATATAAGAAAATATTCTGGCCGGGCATTGGTGGCACACGCCTTTAATCCCAGCACTCGGGAGGCAGAGGCAGATGGATCTCTGTGAGTTCGAGACCAGCCTGGTCTACAAGAGCTAGTTCCAGGACAGCCTCCAAAGCCACAGAGAAACCCTGTCTCGAAAAACCAAAAAAGAAAATATTCTGAAATACAACATTTTTTATACTGATGCCTTTAAATTTAAATGTCCGAATTTATCTTAAAGATTTTGCTCTATGATTATCTTGTTGGATAAATGTACCTAAAAAGATATTAAGCCTTAGTTTTTATTCCTTGTTGCTGATACTTTATTGTCTGTTTTTCTTTTTCTGAACAATCAGTTCCTTATTTTCCTGAACCTTTTCCATGAATGAACACTCTGACCAAGTTTTAAAACTGTTATACAGCTGCATTACCAAAATACTTACAGGTTCTCTCTGTGTGTGACTATTAAAGAAATAAACATAGCATACAATCGAGAAAGAAAGAAAGCCCACCCGCAGTTTGGCTAGGCTCAGTAGTAGAATTCTTGCCCAACAAGCACAAGGCCCCGAGTTCAAACTCCACCATTGGAAGACAAGCACAGACGGTGTGCTATATTGCCATTGAAAGATAGGTTGGTAGTATTGGAAAGTATATAATTTTATTTTTACCTTACTGGTACATTTTTTGTACTACTACTTTTAACCTTTTAAGAAAATACTTTGTAAGTCATGATCATTTCCTCCTGGTCTTCAGTATTCACTTTCAAATCTGCTTTAATTCCCAAAGAACATTCCAGTTTGTATCATGACTTATTCCTACCCCTCACTAAGAAAATGTGTTGATTCCACAGATTAAAAGTGTATTCACCATTGGTTTTTTCCATTTCTAGAGAGATTAAATGTTTTTATGCTTATTGGTTATATGTATTTCTTCTTATGTCAATAGCTTTTTAAAAGAGTTAAAAGTATTTATAGATTGTTTCCTAAGGGCTTTACATGTTTTAATATACCATTAAATATGTAATACAATATTTTTATTAATTCTTTGAGAATTTCATGCAACGTATTTTGATCATAATCATCCCCAACTCCCCCCATATCCACTCTACCCCCTCCCAACTTTTGTCTGCCCTTCCTCTCTTCCCTTCTCTGTCTGCCTCCCACCCACCAAGTCCAATTTGTGCTGCCCTTATACTTTGGGTGTGAGACTGTCCACTGGAGCATGGCTGACCTACCAGGGATCATGCCCTTGAGAATCAGAAAACTGATCCTCCCTCCTCCAGAAGCCGTTATCTGTCAGTAGCTCCTCGGTTAGGGATGGAGGCTCTTACACTCCACCCTCCATGCTGGACTAATGACTGGCTTGATCAGATCATTAAACAGGGCTTGGTCAGGCAGCCACAGCTGCTGGTTTTGCACGTTTTTAATATATGTGGACATTTTGGGCTTATATTGTATAATGAACCTCAATAACCAGTTGTTTTGTTATGGCCCCTATTTCTGCTCCCTGGCCCATGTTTTTAAAGGAAATCTGAATACATCTAAAACTATTTCAATTTATAACTAAAAATTGAGGGCTCTTGGGCCATCAAGATGGCCCAGCAGGTAAGGCCCATCTTGCCATACTTGCCCGATGAACTGAATGATGTCAGTTAAGTCCAAGGTAGCTGCAGCTGAAGAGAATGGATTCCTGAAACTTGTTCTCTGACCTCCACATACTTATCTGCACATGCATGCGTGTGTGTACGTGCACACACACACACACACACACACACACACTCTCTCACACACACACATAAATAAAATTTTAATTTTAATTAAAAAATGACCCAAGGGATTTTCAGCATGGAAAAGATCTTTAAATTTCACTTTTAATACCTGCCCTGCTGCACATATTTTCCCTGGGGTTTTGTTTGCATTTTAATTTTGTTTATGATGCCTGTTTTATAATGCAGAAATTTAAGTTAGTCAAATTTATACATTATTCTCTTCCTGCTGCCTTTGTGCCTATTGGAAGCTAAATAAGATCTAAGATCTTATTCAAGAATAGATGAGGTTTTTCCTCCTGGTGGTTTGTTTTATTACAAAAAACCACTTCAGGATATTCATAAGAATGCTAAGCAGTATTGAAGCCAGCAAACACCGTGTCTGGTTCCTCTGTTTTTAATAAATATGTTGATTATAATGCTCCATAGCCGGGATCTGTACGTCATTTCTGTTTCTGATACTGTTTCTGTATCCTCATGGATTCACTGCTCCTCAGGCTCTCTGTTGTTTATAGCAGTCCCTTTGACAATTGTAACTTCTGTCTGGGTATCTAAGAAGACCAAATAGTCAAGCTTGGCAGGGATTGAAACAGAAAATAGGGACATAAAGTTTGAGTTTAAAAGCTCCAAGTGGTGGCCCCAGGTATTATCTTGTCAGTAAATCGCAGACTTTATGAACTCTGTTTGGTGTGTTCAGGGCCTTTAGGCCCTGGGATTGATTGTCTTGGTTAGCCTTTTTGCTGATTAGTCTACACCGCATTCTGGCTCAATGAGTCGGTTTGTCCAGACTCATAAACACATTTTTTCATTATGCCTAAGTTGCTGCCAGTGTAAGGACAAGTAGTAACATGTGAAGATAATTCACTTTGGCCAGGAATCTGGGTGTGAAACCCCATCTTCCACTCAGGCATCCAGCGTCAATGGGACAGATGATGAGAAGGCCTCACACGCGAGTCCAGCTGACACACACCTCAAGTCTGAGAATGACAAACTGAAGATCGCTTTGACACAGAGGTGAGGCTGCTTCCAAATCCACACCCTCTGTTCTTTATGCTCTGCTTCTCCTGGAAGCCTTTCCTGCTGGTAGGGTCTCAGGAACTGGAAGAGAAGACTGTCCTGCTCAAAGCATCACATTTTACCTCCTGGTTGCAGGAGGAAGACTAGTTGGCTTCACCATCTGTCAGGCCAACCAGTATCAGTCAGTGGTGTGAGTGTGTTAGTGTGAAGAAGTAGGTGTAGAGGATATAAATATGTGTGTGTGTGTGTGTGTGAGAGAGAGAGAGAGAGAGAGAGAGAGAGAGAGAAAGAGGGTCTGTGTTTTGTTTTTTGAAGAGGAACATTCATCATTTATTCATCTATGAGAAGAAAGAGTTAAACACCCAAGAGAAGTATATAAAACCCTAAGAAATGTCAGCTCTCTTTGAAGAGCCCACACACGCTCTCTGAAGTATGCCCTGTGCCTTTCTGTTAACCATTGTGCTTCAGGTCTGTGTTAAAAATGCCCTTCAATAGCTGGGTGGTGGTGGCACACGCCTTTAATCCCAGCACTCAAGAGGCAGGGGCAGGCGGATCTCTGTGAGTTTGAGACCAGCCTGGTCTACAAGAGCTAGTTCCAGGACAGGCTACAAAGCCACAGAGAAACCCTGTCTTGAAACGCCCCCCCCCCAAAAAATGCCCCTCAATAAACTCCAGTTCTGCTTTATACAAGAGCTAGTTCCAGGACAGGCTACAAAGCCACAGAGAAACCCTGTCATGAAACGCCCCCCCCCCAAAAAAATGCCCCTCAATAAACTCCAGTTCTGCTTTAAAAAAAATCTAAGACTATGAAAAATTATATGAAATCACACACTAAATCAAAAATACTCCTATATATAAAAAGATAGGATACCATTTGAAAAAGAGGTTTCCTTTATAAAGTTAACTAGAACCATAAAGCGCATGGGGATAAAGTTGGTAAAAATGTCCAAGAGGACAGGAAGCAAATGGTTTTTGTTGTTGTTTTGAAACAGGATCTTAGCCTAAGTAAGCCCCGAACTCACTCCATAGCTGAGGGTCATCTTGAATTCCTGGTCTTCCTGCCTCTGCTCCACCAATTCTGGGATCATAAACACTCATCACTTTAAGATGATTTTTGAGGGTCACAAATGAATAATTTTAACACAAAAATATACTATTTGTTATTTTTAAGAATATCTATGGGGGAAAGTTTATGGAAACTAGAGGGATGGCCCAAGGGCTAAGAGTGCTTGCTGCTCTTGCAGGGAACATGAGTTTCATTGCCAAAATCCACATTGTTTGGCTCATAATTGCCCGTAACTCCAGCTGCAGGGGATCCAGCTCTTCCTTTGACCTCTGAGAGCCCCAGCATACATGTGGCACACACACAAATAAAAACACAAATCTTTAAAAAGCATTATAAGTTAACATATAGTTCTACATATTTATTGCATACAGTGTGACATTAAATGAATAAAATTACATGATGATCAAATCAGAGTCGGCAATCCTTCGCTTCAAACACAGGTTCGAGGGTATTGGCTTCTTCTAAGTGGTTCTGTACATTAACACAATCCCCATAGGCATATCAAGGAGACTTAAATTTTAAATGGCAACACAAGCTATCCTTGTGTTTCTGGGTCTTCAGGACTGGCTTGGCACCTTCAGAATTACTCTGCTCACCTGGCTGAGGGCTTTGGCCAGATGCCCCCAGTCTCTTCCTTGTGGCTAAGAAGGTTGTCTACTCTCACCAGACTTCTCATGTCAGAGCTATGTCGCCTTCAGGCCTGTCCTGTCTAAATTCCCCCACTGGCCTGTTGAGGAAACTAGACACAATTAGTAAAGTAGCTCCCTGCCTGAGGTCACATGGCTGAAGCAAGCCTTTGTGCCTCCCATTATGGCATTGCTTTCACTTCCCTCTGCAGCCAGCTTCAGCCCAGCCCAGTCCAGCCCAGCCCAGCTCCAGCCCCAGCTGGAGCCCCCAAAAGGGCTGCCATTCATTGCCCTGGCTCAGCATCCTGGCTGCCATTTGGAACTTAGTTCCTGTGAGCTGACCTAGAAATCGCAGAAAGCATAAGAGGCTTTTAGAGCCCACCTCCTGTGTCTGGATGCTGGCTCTCTTTAGGTGCTTCAAAGACAAAGCTGACCAGTCCCCTTTCTTACCTATTTTTGGTTGTTTAAGTCACAGTGGGATGCCCAGATGAAAATATCCAACTCCCCAAAATAAATGTTTTCCACTCCAAGTTCAGAAAAGCAAGTTAAAGGAATAGCCATGAAGCCATTCCCCTAAATCAGCATAATTCTCTGTCGTCACCTCTAAAATTCATCAGATAAAGACAGTTTACTGAGTTTTTTAATTCAGTGTGGCATTTAAAACCTAAAGCATGCATTTCCCAATCACATTATAGATTCATGAGGCAGTATATAGAAAGATAACATAGTGTTCAGGTAGATAAGTGTATATATTTAAAATGTCTTCTTTTGTCATTAGAAAATGGACGTTCCTCAGCTGGGTAGAAATGTTCTTTGTGTATGTGTGTGCATGTTTCTGTGTGTGCAAGTGTGCATGCATTTGAACTAGTGTGTGTGTGTGTGTGTGTGTGTGTGTGTGTGTGTGTGTGAGTGTGTGTGTGTGTGCGCGCGCGAGCACGCACATACATGTGAAGGCCAAAAGTCAACATTGTATGTTCCTCAGGAATCACCTGCCTTGGAGACAGACACAGATACCAAATTACTGTATGTGTCTGAGGAGAGCGAGACTGATTTACTGTGTGTGTCTGCGTGTGTGGGGCATGTATGTGCATGCATGTGGGGTGGCATGCACCTACATGTACATACAGAAACCAGAGGGGGGTGTTGGTGTCTTCCCCTGTCACTTTTCACCTTATTTTTTGAGTCAAGCTTTCTTGCTGGAATCCGAATCTCACCATTTGGCTGGCTGGCTCACCATCTAGTCTCTGCAGTCTGTCTGTCTCTGCCTCTCAAAGCTGGGATTATAGGCACATGTGGCTGTCTATGCCCAGCTTTTACATGGGTACTGAGGATTTGAACTCTGGTCATCTTGCTTTCATAACAATCTAATTATCTAGTGAGCCACCTTTTAGCCCCATTTTTTTGTTATTCTGTTTTGTTTCAGATGGGGTTTCTCTGTAGCTCTGGCTGTTCCAGAACTCTCTCTGTAGACCAGGCTGGCCTCAAATTTATAGAGCTCCACCTGCCTCTGCCTATCCAGTGCTGGGATTAAAGATGTACATCACTGTGCCTAGCTCCCGTTTTGTTTGTTTATGGTGTGGTCTGGTTTTTTGTTTGTTTTGGTTTGGGGTTGGTTTTTTGGTTTTTGTTGTTTGTTTTTGTGAGATGGAGTCTCTCACTGAACCTACAGCTCACCAATCATCTAGACTGTACAGCCAACAAGTCCCAGAGATCCTCCTGCCTCTGCCTCCCACCATGGGGATAACAAACACACAGTACTGCCCCTGGCTTTTACATCAAGCACAGGTCCTCGTGCCTGTGCAACAAGCTCCTTACAGGATGAGCTGTCACTCAATTGCCAACAGAACTTTCTATGGGTTTGTCCTGACTGCTCCCTCGCCTCAGGTCACATTCAGTGTTGCAACTATCTGAACAGAAATGAAAGGGGACAGAAGGGAGTGCTGACAGAGGGAACCCTGCTTCCTGTTTGTTGGAAGGGTCTTCTCTGAGCACAGAGGTCAAAGGTGAAACAGGATGCTGTTTGTGCAGTTAAGAACAGAGCTATCCCGGCCCCACTTCAAGGCATCCCTTTAAGAAAAGAACTGGGTAAGGTGACATGTGCACACTAGAAAGAGAAATCAGTTCAGTTGGTGCTGACTGGTAGGCAAGAGTTTGAGCTTGGGGTAAGCAGAGGAGTGATAGAGTTCCCATTCCCCAGCTAATGGAGGTGCAGTGTGAGGGACACCACTCCTAAACTCTGTCATCACTCGTCACCCCTACAGTGCTGCCAATGTGAAGAAGTGGGAGATTGAACTGCAGACCCTGCGGGAGAGCAATGCCCGGCTGACCACAGCCCTGCAGGAGTCCGTAGCCAGTGTGGAGCAGTGGAAGAAGCAGTTCTCCATCTGCCGAGATGAGAATGACCGGCTCCGTAGCAAGGTGGGCTCCAGCAGGCATCGGGACAGAGGCCTGGCCAGCAGGAGATGGGCGGCTCAAGGCCCTTTCCTCTCTTCTCCTCAGCCTCCCTCTCACTCTGCCCTCACCCCACGAGCAGGAGAAAGACATTTTTGTCTCCTCGTTGAACATCTGTCTGTCTTTCTTAGTAGGAGGTCAATGATATAAATTAGTGACTTTGAATTCTTGTTGCTAAGAAAGAGATAAGTGAACAGAACCCCATATTCCTCCCAGGCCGGCCTTTGCTCTAGGTGAGCTTCCTTTAGCATCTCTGTGGCTTGGACTCTCCAGTGGCGGAAAGGGAACCCAAGGATAAGTGAGTAAAATTGATCTGGGAATGCTGAAGAGTCTGTTTCTACAGAAACCCTGCTCCCATCCAAATCATTATTTCTAAAAATGTAAATCTGGGAACAAAAACAGGAGTATATGTTTGACGAGGAGAATGGTGGGCGCCAACTGCCATGCTTTCTGTGGTAACCTGTAACCAGCCCTGGAGTCACTCTTACCTGTTGTTCTGCAGCATTGATGTGGTCATTTGGGGTGCTCAGATGGCCCTGGGGAGCTTCTCAGGTTTTAGACTGTATAATGTGTGAGTCCACGGGGCTTCAGAGAATGCTCCGTAAGTGCAGGGTTTCAGGGACCTGTCCCTTGACCCACGTGTCACCCTTGCCCTGACTGGCCTGGGCAAAGCCACTGTGGTGGAGCCCCACTCACCACCTTCCTTGAGTGCTAATTGCCCGAAGAGCCGCCTCATGTCATTTTCATTTTCAGTCCCCATGATGAGCATGCTGACAGCCAGGGCACGGGGCCAGTTGCTGACTTTGCGTGTTCCTGTCTGAGCCCTGGCTGATCTGCCTGCCAGAGGGATCGATTGCTGCTCCTTTTCAAGCAAAAAGCTGATTTTCTTACTCTAGTCTGAGTGCAATAGCCAAGTGCAACACTGAGGTGTGGGGTGATGTCACCCAGAGCCTGGGAAGGTGTGGACCTCCCTGGGATGAGCTCTTGGAGCGCTTGATTCCCAGGCTGCAGATAGGAGTTGGGATCATCGGTTTCAGTGGGGCGGAGGGTACAGGTCCCCAGGGTCGTGGCAGCTACCACTGAGGAGATGCCTCATGTCAAAGCCTGGCATTGTCTGAGTGTGGTGATGCAGTGTGTCTGCTTTGGATTGTATTATTGGCTCCACTCCTCATCCACTCTGCTCACACATTTTGGTTTCCAAGAAATGCTGAGCAACTCATGACAGAGTCAGTATATGAGGGCTCTGTACTCCCACTCTGCCTGGCTAGCCCTTTTGCAAGGTCAGGCCCATGAAAAGATGCAGCCCAGGGGTTTACTAGTCAGTCTTGAAGGCGATACCCCTGTACACTGCTCCCCAGCCAGGACCCTTCTGTGAGTAACGGTGGGTGGGCTTATCTTGATATGCAGTGGTTGAGATGTCTTTGATTTCCTGTCCAGTAGCGTTGCTAAATCCTACTCGGTCATCTTCAACGCTTGAGATGAAACCAAGGAATTCAGAGCATGATTAAAATGATGTCAAAGCCAGTCTTGGGGAAAGCAGATCAATTCAGGAGACACCTGGCCTGTGACAGATACAGAAAGCAATCCTGAATCTACTTCCATGTGGCCACAGGAGAAATCCAGAATCCCAGCACATAGACTGGGTTTCATGACTTACTGGCCCTACTGGATTAAGTAACAAATCTCAGGCAAGCTGTGGGCAGACAGCTCAGGGGAGCTGCATGGTGCCTGTTTGTGGACAGTATAGAAGTGGGGTAGTTTATGGCTCATTTGAAACGAAAGCATAAAAAAAGTTGTGGCCAGCTCATGTTTAATGACTAAGCTAGCATCCTCACCCGAATTGTCATGTTCCCTAAGATTGAGCAGCTGGAAGAGCAGTGCAGCGAGATAAACAGGGAGAAGGAGAAGAACACCCAGCTGAAGAGCAGGATTGAGGAGCTGGAGTCAGAGCTCCGAGAAAAGGAGATGGTGAGTGGAGAGCTCCGAGCGGCGCCCTGTGACCCTGGCCTTGTATGGTGACCTCTGTGAGCCAAAGTCTCCCGCTGCCCCTTGCAGTATTGTATCTATGACACTCTAGAGTGAACTGAGGGTGGCGAGTGTAGCTCAGAAGGTAGAGTGCTTGCCTAGCATTCATGAAGCCTTGGGGTTTGGTCCCCAGTACCATGGAAACCCACCATGGTGGTACACACTGTAATCCCAGAGCTCAGGTATAGAAGCAGGGGGATCAGGAGTTCGAAGGCCGTCTTCATCAAGATAAATAAGATGCTATCTGAGAAGAAAAAAAAAAGGGGGGAGGTGTGGAGATTTACCAGAATCCCTGGACAGTCTAAAAGGTCACCCTCCAGCAGAAGAGGCATTCTCTTGTCAGGCTCATGCCACTAGAATTTCCATTCTCACAGTCGTTTATATTCTGGGAGGCAGAAAGTTAAGCACACAACACTGGGACGTGGGCAAGTTAACGAAACCTCCTAGGCCTCAGTTTCCCCCACTACAAAACAGCAATTTACAGTGTGGACAGATTTCATGCAGTGATGCATCTAATTAATGTACCACACCCTCAGAGTCATCCGATGCTTCAGAAGGGCATTCCTCCATTGTTGTTCATGTGAGCAAGATGGGCTCTGAGAACAGCACTCACCAGTGTACACACAGCTCAGCAGTTTGCAAGAGTCTGTTTTTAATCATAGCGCAATCGCACGCACGTGTGTGTGTGTGTGTGTGTGTGTGTGTGTGTGTGTGTGTGTTTAAAATTTTTTCTGTCTCCCCCAGGAGTTGAAAGATCTCCGAAAACAAAGTGAAATCATACCTCAGCTCATGTCCGAGTGTGAATATGTCTCTGAGAAATTAGAGGTAAGGGGATGTGAGTTGGTCCCGAGGTAACTGGCATGTTTTCAATCTCTCCACTCTCCCTCCATTTTACATCGAGGAGGGACAAAGGTGGGTTTCCACTCACAAAGGTCTAGTGGTTATGTGTCACCGGCACCCGGGGCTGCCTCAATGGTGGTGGGATTTTTGGTTTCCCTACTTACACAAAGGGTCTTGTGCACAACCAGAGTGTGGGTGACTGTTTCTTGCCCACAGAAAATTCTGCAGAACCACAGCTGACTAGGAAAGGGGCCCATGGGTAGCCTGGATATATAGGGTCAGGGACAAGTTCACCTTGTCCTCTCCCCAGCTGTGATTTTGGGTATTGACCTTAGACTGGCCCTACTTCACTAGTATCAGCTTGCTGGTTTTTCTTCACCCTCAGGGGCCCCCTCACTTTAGGCCCCTTGATACATACAAGGGACGCTTTTTTGAATTGCACAGCCCAGGACTGTATTGATAACCAGTTTCAAAGCACATGTTAAAGAAAGTCCTAGTTTATGCCCACAGAATAAAGCTCTTATATGGCAGTAAAAGTCCTCCCTCACAAAGGGCTGGAGGTCAGCTAGAGTCCAAGGAGGGCTCTTGTGGAGCCAAAGAAGCAAGCCATGTTCACTGTCCCAGTTTGTTCTGGCTTTGGTGTAGGATATAAATGAAAGGTGGTCTCCACCGACCACTCCAGGTCTGGGGTCCAGATTTCAGAGCTTCTCTGCTGGAATCTTTGTGAAGCCCCTTGAGCAGGACTCTGCATTGCAGCTTGGGGTGTTCAGGCCAGCTGTTGGTCATCTACCACTTTTAATCCTCCTTCTGGAGAACCAGCAGGAAAGGAATGGCATCACGAACAAGATGGCTTCCTTCCTGACTTCAGGACACTGCGTTCCCCCTCCACCCGCCACTGTCTTCCAGACCCTTCTCCCTTTTGTCTTGTCAGGCGGCAGAAAGAGACAATCAAAACTTAGAAGACAAAGTGCGGTCTCTAAAGACGGACATCGAGGAGAGTAAATACCGACAGCGCCACCTGAAGGGGGAGTTGAAGAGCTTCCTTGAGGTGCTGGACGGAAAGATTGATGACCTCCATGACTTCCGCCGAGGACTCTCCAAGTTAGGCACAGATAACTAGGCCACGCGGAGGGAGCCTAGGTCATGAGCCTAGGTCATGAGTCGCAAGTGTGTGTGTGTGAGATGACGTAGGCATAGGACATTCTCCATTTGTGTTGCTTCTGTAAATGCAGGTGCATTCTGTCTGTCTCCAGACCAGTTGCGCCGTCCACTCACTCCTCCAGAATAGAAAATCTCTCGCTTCTCTGGCCTTGTGAGGTTGTGGACAACTGGGAGCTTCTGACTCAGGAATCCAGAACTTGGTCTACCTTAGCCGTTTACGAAGTCAGGGCAGGGATGTTTATATCTTTTTTAAGGGCTGTTGCAACCCTGTGAACTGGGGTGGGGGAAGTCTTTTCTAATCTAAGTATCAATATCCTTTACAACAGGCCACTGGGCGCCTTCTACTGAGTAGCATTCAGGGTGGTGACTCTCTGGCAGATTCTAGGCCATGGGCACATGGGGGGAGCATCTTTTCCCAGTATGCATTGTGATGCTTTAGCAGATGTATCTGACCGTTTGATGTTGTGACACAGCACCATCATCCACAAAGTTCACACTCAAGGATGACATAATTGACTTACCCCAAAAGAAATAATTGTCAAAAAAGAGAGTGTTCTAAGTAAGTTTACTATTTTGTGTTGGAGCACATTCATAGCTATCCTTGGCTGCATGTGGCCCTCAGGCTGTAGGTCAAACATACCTACTTGAAAGGAACCATGTAGTGGAGACTTATCCAGAGAGAATAAAACCCAGATGTTTTGGGGTGTGCCTACAGACAGGAAATCACTTGTGCCCACTGTGCCCCATTCTCCCCTGATCTGTGTGGTTGCGACAG